TGAGAAGTCCAGGGTAGAAAGGGAGGAACGGGCAGCAGCACGACTCAGACAGCGGGCTCTGGCGCCAGGCTGCCTGCGGTGACTTCCACGCACCTCCATGTCCTTCTCTGTAATGTGGGAGTGGTGATGTACCCAAACGCACGGGGTTGCCCAGGGACTGAATACAATCACGCATGTCTGGGCACCGGTCATGTTTATCAACCTGCTCCTGCCATCATTCATGCCACAAATACTCGCTAAGCAACTTTCCTCCAGGTACTCGTCTAAGCCCTGGGGGTGGGTCTGTAAGCAAGAACAACAAAGTTCCTTTCTTCTTGGAGCTCACATTCCATTTGCTGTAGACAACAGACAAAATGAGTAAAATACATAGTATGTTAGGTGGTGGAGTATGTGAAAGAGAAAAAATAAGTAGATAAGGGATTAGAGACAGGAAGTTAAGGGAAGGTTAAAATGTTCAATCGGGTGGCGGCAGGCTTCCTGGAGTGGCGGCGGAGGAGAGTGAGGGGTGTTCGTTTCCTATTGTGGCTGTCAAGTGACCACAAACAACGCAATTTTAGTGTCTTACAGTCCTTGAGGTCAGGAGTTCAGAGTGGCCCAAATCAAGGTGCTGGCGGCACAGTGGTCCCATCTCCTTGCCTTCTCCAGCCTCTCCAAGCTGCCCCCCTCTTGGCTCATGGCCCCATTACTTCAGCCTCAGTTTCCATAATCTTATCTTCTCTGACGCTGACTCTCCTGCCTCCCTCTTTTTCTTATAAGAACTCTTGTGATGACACCAGGCCCACCTGGATAACCCAGAATAATCACCCCATCTCAGGATCCTTATCGTGATCACATCTGCAAAATCCCTTTTGCCATGTAAGAGGACGTTTTCACAGGTCTGGGAATCAGGACCTTGGACACTTTGGGGTGACTATCATTCTGCCTACCACATGAAGCATAGTATCTAGAGGAAGTGTGAACAGCAAGTTCAAAGACCCAGAGATGGGGGCGGCCTGGCATGCTGGAGGGAGATGGAGACCAGTGAGGATGGGGTAGAGTGGGAAAAGGGAGGTGAGGAAAGCAAAGTCGCAGAGGTGAAGGAGGTAGCGTGGCTTCTGTAGGCCCTGTGGGTCCCAATGAGGAGTTTGGCCTTCGCCTGATCTCACAGGTTTTAACAGAATCCTCTGACTGCTCTGTTGAAAGCAGACGACCCATGAGGCGACTGCTGCAATTTCCAGGTGAGATGATAGTGGAGGAAGGTAGTAAGACGGTATCATTCTGGATTTTAAAGGTCAAGTGGCAAGGGGATACTTAAGAGTTAGAAGCTGAGTGACAGAGAGATGGAAATCAAGATGACCTCAAAGTTTTTGACCTGAGCAATTGGAAGAACTAAGATGCCCTTTAAGACACAAATACATGAAAAGATATCCCATGTTCATGGATTGGAAGAATTAATATTGCTAAAATGTCCATGCTACTCAAAGAATCAAAAAC